AAAGACCGTTTTGGGGGGTTTTTTTGGTCTGAGTGTGTGTGTGTGTGTGTGTGTGTGTGTGTGCGTCTGTGTGTCTGTGTGTCTGTGTGTCTGTGGGAAAAAAAATATATGTATATACAGTATAGTTAGGATAGATATGCAACTACTTTCTCTTACTTTATTGAGAGAGAAGGTTTGTACTAATATTGTTTAAACAAGACATCATGTTTCCATCTTGTCCTCTGAATCACTACTAGGATGACAACAATATGCAATGTATTAATTATTTTAACTGTCATAATAACCTGTCTTGAAACTGTTTCATTGTTATTTTATCTTATTTCTCATGAAAATGAAAAAGATACATAATACAACAACCATTGTTGATTAGCTATCCCTGTTTTGAAAATCTGTATTATATGTATTGTTGTGTATTAACTTGTTTCTGTCATTTTTTCTATTTGTTTTTGCTTGTTTTCACTCCTCCAATTGAATTAAATTTAAAAAAGAAATTTCAGGCCTGCCCTGCCAGCCCTGCCCAGGGGCACAGTGAGAAGGTGATTCAGACTGGGCATGGCGCTGTGCACTTGCAATCCCAGCACTTGGGAGGCTGCAAACAGGAGAATCACTACGAGTTCAATCTAGTAGTGAGACCCTGAACACCCGGTAGATCCTTCCCTAGAATACAGAAAGAAAAAATATAATAATAAAAATAAAAAAGAAAGAAATTTATTTTATTGGAGCTGAGGATATTGTTATACAATAATAATTGTATGTTTCCTATTTCCATATGTATATTCACATGCCTTTAACCCAGTAATAACAAATTTATAGTAGAGTAGAAAATACAAGGACAAAACTTTTTAATAAACAACTTATGCTCAGTGTTCCATCACCTTCTAAGTGTTTCATACATTTCAACAAACAAGAAAATTTTAACCCTAATACAAGGAAAATAACTGCAACACAGTTATCACAAACTGTAGCTCCAGTGTTAATCTTCGATGGGCAATTAGCCTGGATTTTTTAATTTTATTAACCAGTTTAAATGAATTTATTGTTAAGTCATGTAAACAAAAGTATCTACTCATTTGTAAGCCAATTTATATAGAGATTTCGGAAGATAATGTAAATACTTTTACCCAAAAGGTAAAATACAGAAATGTACATATTAACCTAAATCGTATGTCTATGTTACCAAACTACAGTGTTTGTATTGGCAAGTTTTATGTAAAACTGGAGCCTCGTGCTATTTACCCTCTTTTTTTTTCTCAGTACCTCAGCAGTTTATTTAACAAGGTGAGGGTGAGGCTGAGAGCAGTTACAATATTCTGCTATATGAAGAGAGCAGTGCACGACCATAGACCTCACATCATCCTCCTTGGACTCTCCCACTGTCTTGGTTAGCAGTGAAAGGCATTTTAGGGTTACATGAACACACTCTTTACAACTGCCCTGTTTGCAGAAGTTAGAGTATAATCAGCACTTGGCATTTAGTAAGTAACAGGGCAGGAGGTTCCACTGTGCCCTGGTGACATCAGCGTCGGGTCTGCGGTGCCTACGACAGGGTGATCTGTAAAGTTTCCAATGTGTCTTCAACTGCCTTCAGAAAGTATCTGGTTTCCTTCTTACTTCGACCTATACACTGGTAGGCTCTGTTGATCTGACTAGCTGCCCAGCTCGCACACTTCATGTTGTCCTTCTTCATTTTGCGCTTGCTTTTAGATTAGACGCAGTATGGCTTGCAGACATGTAAAGCCCAAACAAAGCTCTCATGTTCCTGTTGTTCAGTTTCAATGCCTGTGCAAGATACTTCCTTGAAGGTTCCAGGTTCTCAAGTTCACCCTGGGTGTATTTAACCTCCGCATACTGCTGGCAAGGCAGGTGGATGTGGGGATTTGTCATGATGAGCTCCTCCAGGCAGAAGGCTGCTTTTGCATAGTTTGATATAGAGTTCTGTGAGCTCATGCCAGGCTTCCTGGTCAACAACAAACTACTCCAGATACTCGTTCAGCTCCCGAATGGCCTCCACATTCTTCCCCTGGGCTTTAAGAATGGCAATCTTATGCTTTCTTGCAGCAGTATTAGTTGGATCTTCCTGCAAAATTCGATCATATAGCTGTATAGCGTCACCATACCCTACCATGGCTTCAAATCTCATGCCTGTTAATCGCTTGACTCTGGCTGCCAGGGAACTGTCTTCTCAACTCCGGGCCTGGGCTAGGACTGGATCTCTAGCCTAGATATTAATGCTGGTATTTATTTTGATTACTTTTGTGGAATCTTCCCACTTCACTCAGGTTTTACCAGTTGTTTCAATGTTTTTTATAGCAAATGATAAGAGTATGGAATCAGTGCTGCCTTGAGTTCCTTCTAGTCTGGATCAATTCTTCAGTCTTTCCATGACATTTATGACCTTGGTACTTTTTAAGATTATTACCTAGCTATTTTTTGGTATGTCCCTCAATTTTAGGTTAGTATGATATTTCCAGATAGCTAGATTCAAGCTGTACCTCACTGCAAGCATCAGTTTCATTTATTTAACTTTTAAACACTTATAAAGTTAATTATCATATATACTAACAATCAGACTAATAGGCAAAAACATATAAAACACATAAGAAAATTATATCAAACCAAAATGCACTGATGGATACATTCTCCATGTTGGATTACAGTAACTGCTTCTCTCTCTTGTTGCTCACTATAGTGTACCTCAGTTTGTGAATTTAATTCTTTCCACAACTCTGGCTATGAACAGAACTGTTCTTGATCTGAATCAAATTATCCATAAGGTTCAACATCACTGATGCAAAGTTTTGTGATCAGAAGCCAAATTTTACAGAACACTTCTATTCACAAAGCATTCGTGTATTGTGCTAGCACTGTACTTGTCTTTTATTTTGTACTTTATTTTTATGTTGTGCTTCATATGAAAAAGAAACTATGTGATATTAAAGCTTATGTATTTGAGATTTACTTCACTTAACATTATAGTCTCAAGGTGCATCCATTTTTCTACAAATGACTCAAGTTTATCCTGCTTTACAGGAGAGTGCTAGTCCATTATGTATAAATACTATATTTTCTTTATCCATTCATCTTTTGATGGACATATAGGCTGCTTCCAAGACTTAGCCATTATAAATTGTGCTGCTATAAACATGGGTATGCAGACATCGCTGTGGTTTGATCTCTAACTCTTTAGGAAAAATAGCTGGAAAGGAAATATCTGGGTCAAGTAGAATTTCTATTTTTAATTTTTGAGGAAACTCCATACTGATTTCCATAGTCATTGTATCAGTTTGCTCACCCCCCAACAACAAAGAATACTTCCTTTCTCCGCACAGTCTCACCAACTTTTGTCACTGGTTGATTTCTTAGTGATAGCTATTCTTTCTACAGTGAGATGGAATCTCAGTGCTGTTTTAATTTGCATTTTTGGAACGTTCAGTGACATTGCACATTTCTTCGTGTATTTATTGACCATCATATTTCTTCATCTGAGGAGTATCTCTTCATTTCAGGTCCCTAGTTTTTTGACTGACTCTTTAAATTTGGGGACATAAGATTTGAGACTGTTTTGTCCAGTACAAGCATTGCTTTGACACTCTTCATTGAACTGCCTCATTTAGGCAGATCTTCCAAGATAGACTCTTCCTAACTTTGCTGAGAATGAGGGAGGCCTAAATTGTCCCAGGATGGGGAGTGGAGACTCTATAAAATAATGCTTCCTGAGACAGGGAGACAAATTTTAATTTAAAAAATTATTGATTACTAGGTTGCTCGCAATGCCCACTTGAAGTTATATGCTTCTGAACATATTAAAATTTCTCAGATATTAGATTTATATTTTAATGAATATAAAGATAAAGGAAGTAGACAACAGAAAATGAGATCAACTTCAGATATGCTTTTTCTCCCTCTTTATCTATCCTGTATTTAAGTTTAAAAATTAGCTTTAGGGGCCAGGGAGATGGCTCAGTGGAATAAGCGCTTCCCTGGCAAGCACAAGGGCATGAGTTCAATTCCCGGTTCAAAAAAAAAAAATTAGCTTTTACTATACATATAATGGAAGAAATGATGATTTTAGCTGATATACAAAATATGAGCTTGGACATGACATGCACGCGTGGTTCCCTCGCCACAGCCAAGTTAAGAGACATCCACCTCTTCCCAGACAACTATATTTCAATTTTCAGAAGATAATAAAATAAGTGATGAGCCAGTAAGCACAGGAATTTGGGGTGCTGTTTTAGTTGCCCAGGGCTGCCACAACAAAGTGCCACAGGCTGAGGATCTTAAGCAACAAAAGTATGTTTCCTCACAGCTCTAGAGAATCAGCAGTCTCAGATCAAGGTGTGTCAGCAGGGCTGCTGTCTTCTCAAGGCTCTCCCTTATTTACAGATGTTTGTCCCCTCTGATGTCTTTACCTAGCCCACCTCTACTCATGTCTGTGGCCAACTTACTTCTCTTATACCATCCACAGTTGTCTTAGAGGAGCACCCTCCCTAATGCATTGCTTTTAACTTAGTCACTTCCTCAAAGGCGCTACTTCCAAATATAATCACATTCTCTGACCAGAGATTTTAATACATAAATTTGGATGACATATACAATGATTTTGTTTGTTTGTCTGTTTAGTACCGAAGGTAAAACTCAGGACTCTGAGCTTGCCCAGCAGGCACTTATGCCACTGAGCTATCTCCTCCACCCTGGGTGACCTATAAATCAACGAATGACAGTTACTTAGATCACACAGATTTTACCATTATTTCTGGTGTTCCTATTGTCTTTGTATCGTAGCATAGTTTTCCCCCTGTCTTCTTAGCTCTATGACCTAAAGACTCTGTCTGGTAAACATTTTTTCATCATCATTGACATCTGTTAATAATTTTCTATGATGCTATCTCTTTAAATGTTTTCTATTCTACCACTTTCAAGTAATTATGCTCCCAAGCAAAACTGAAACCAGTGTGCTTGTATTTCTACTTCCTCATTCTGCAAAAGAGCTAGGAAGTGTCCGGCATTGCCAGGAAGACTGCATCAGAAACAGCTTCTCATCTCTTAGGAGCTTAGTGTGGTTGACTTTGTTTTTTATTCAAGGATCCTCAGAATTATGTCTCCAAGCTATGAGAAGAGAAATAAGAAAGTAAAGGTTAAAATGCCCAGATTCAAGTTTCTGAAGTAAACGAGAAAAAGCTTTTAGGAAATTTCTGGTAAGTTTCCAAGTCTTTAATCCTTTCTTTGTCACATAGATGAGGGGACAGATATTTCTTAATACATCAGCTTTATTTTTATATTAATACGTGTCTGTCTATAAATCATTACTTGTAAAAACAACTAATTAGAAATATCCATGTATTGAATACACATAGGTGTATTTAAGTGATGAGGGGACAGATATTTCTTAATACATCAGCTTTATTTTTATATTAATACGTGTCTGTCTATAAATCATTACTTGTAAAAACAACTAATTAGAAATATCCATGTATTGAATACACATAGGTGTATTTAAGTGATAATAGTAAATGCTTTTCTGAAAAGATTCAAACCATCAACTGTAATTAGGTGGTGAGAACTAAGAGGATAATGTGAGGGCCTCAGAATGAGAAAGTGCAAGGAATGTCAGGGATTTCCGCCCAAAAGATTGTAACAGAATCGGTAGATCCGAGCAAACATGCAAATCCTACTTCCATGGCTTACGATATTAGTAAATGTTTTACCCGTCGTCCAAGGTGACATTCGCGAGAGAATAGCTTTAGTCTGTCCTGCACAGCTACCTCATTAAGCAATCTGATGGAGTCACAAGTTAGGAAAGGGAAAGCTAGGTAAGCTTCCTCACGCCTGGGCTCAGTTCCACAGAGCGCCACTAGAGGGACGGAGCCACTGCAGGCTCAGCCAGGACCCGGGCAGCCGGAAGGGTGAGAGCTAGCCGGCCCACCTCAGAGCAAGTATCTGGGGCGCTGTCTGGGGCCGCCTGGGACGGGGATGTCCGCCTGAGACATGCTTGTCTCCAAGAGTTCTGCTGACCTGGCGCGTACTTCTTCAACATCAAAGAGAGAGAACTGAAGTGTTCACCTGAGAATGGCATCCGATAACTGCTTTCAGTAGTTAAAATAGTTGCTAAGAAAATTTATATTCCCACTTGTTTCAAAACAGAAAGCTGGGAGCCGCCAGGAAGCCAGGAGTTATGCCAGGGTATTCTCAGAATTTGTCCTCCCCCATCTGCATCTTAGTTTCAATATTACATAATCAGATGCTCTTAAAATTCATAAAGTGAAAACTTTTTAAACCTACTGCATAGCGTAGGCTCAAATTACTGGATCGCGAGTTCACTGCTATCTTGTTGAAGACGCAGGGTTGAAACATTGAGGTTTTATAAGATGTTCAAGAGCATCACTGAAGAGTCTAGTATATCCTATCGAGACAAGGTAGTGTTCAGTTTTCTGTTTAATAAAAGAAAAGACTCCAGATTTGGGGACTACATGTCAGTGTCCCTCTCTATTGTAGCCATTGCAGAGTCTGTGCAAAAGTAGTAATGCCATGTGAGGTACTCGGCTCATTTTGCAGCACAGCCTATCCTAGACAGCCTCAGGGGTCCCTGCCTGGAGGTCACAGAGCTGTGAAAGAAGGGATGGACCTCAGAGGAAAATTGCTGCTACACTGCCACTTCTAGAATGCTTGCTGGGTCCTGTTGGGATTGCTGTCTTCATGAGCTAGAGAAAAAATTCGGAATCTTCCCTCTCAGTCTTCAGGCTCTCTAGAGAGAGGGTCATTGTTGCCAAAAGAGGCCTCTGGGCTGAAGAAGGGTAAGCCTTCTGACTTGATAGGGTACATGGGTGGAAAGGGGCAATTTCTTCACCAGGAGGCAAACTTCTAGAGCAAAGGCAGCAGGAGCTAAGAGCGAAGGAACTGAGGCTGTCACCAAGGACTACGATGCAACAGGAAGCTAATGTATATTATGAAACAGGGTGCTTATAGGTCTGCAGGATAAGACATGGTTATGAATTGTCCTTTCCTTCTGATAAAACTTCTCATTTTTATGATCAGTTAATAAAACCTGGTCCTAGATATGGCTTAATGAGTAGCTCACCCCCAAGATATCTGTCCAGGACTCTGGTAAAGCAAATACCTTAACAAAATGAAGAAAGTCTTTAGACTTACTAACATTACTACTGTGAGGTTTTTCATAAATTCACTATCTTTTAATAACTTTAAGAAAATACGTTATGCATTCAGCAAATTTTTGTTAAGAAGTTAATATGTGAGGAGCATTTATAAAATATTATACAACATATACAAATCCCTTGTCTTCATAGAATTCACAGAACGATGGAGACAGGAAATAAACAAGTAAATAAGAATATCCAGACTAGAAGGCTGTGTAAGTCCTCGGTCAATTACAAATAAAGCCAGAAGAAGAATGGGAATTGTTGGGAGATCGGAAAATGTTGTCCATATACTAGCCAAGCAGCACCTTACGAGAAGGTGACATTTTATAAAAGTCCTTAAGGACATGAAGGAATGAGTCCTGTGACAAGGACAATGCAGGGAAAGGAGATAAGCACAATAACGAGAAATAGGAGAAGGAGCTGCCTACAACAAAGAGTAACTAGGGGATCATGGACCAGACCAGATTGGAGAGAGAAATGAAAGTGGGAGGAACACCAGAGGGGTAGCAGGGCTCCAGATCAAGTGGAACCCTGGAGTTCATGAACAGAGCTTAGCTTTCACAGCGTCAGATGAAAGCCACTGGAAGGACTGCACAGGTTGTTGGTATGATATTATTATATTTGGTCAAGGTCACCTGGCTAGTATTTTGGGAAGTCTCTAAAGGAATCAATAACAGCAAAAGGCAAACCTCCGAGGGGACTAGGCTTGTAATGCAACAGCGAGACAGTGGTGGCCAGATCCAGGGTATGTGCTGAGCAGAATAGGATGTCTTACTCATCGAGTAAGGAATGTAAGAAGGGCAACAAGGGACCTGCCACGCATAATGTAATGTTCATTTATTGTATGAAAAGCATGTAAGCATAGGAAAAAATGTCATCAGGGATATTCCTTTCACTATTCTTTGGAATTTACTTGTATTTGAAAATGTTCAGAGTAGAAAGTGGAGGAAATTCATACGATTAATAACACTTCCAAATAGTAGTTCAATTAATTACATTTTAATTTGCTGTGATACTAGTTTTTGCTTTCTTTTTTTTATTTAATAGGTTCTCAAAAATTTATTCTCAAGGAAGCCAACACTATTCTGCCTACATCTCTCCTCCCTCACTGATCTACTGAGCATGACTTGCGAATTCTCCAGAAAATCAAACTAGTCTAGAAATTCCTGATTGAAAGCTTCACAGAGACCTATTTCAAGCTTCTTATACAAAAAGTAAAAGCTTTCAGAAGAGCCTAGGTAAGTTTCTAATCGTTAAAGACTTAATCAACTCTTTAGAAGCTTTCTTAAAAATTAATTCTAAAAACCAAACCATATATTTAAAAATGAATATCTTTTCAAATGTACTCAATGTAACTGATGTTAGCTATAAATTTAAAAAAAAAAAATCTTTCACCAAAGGTGGTCGTAAGCAGGCAGACCTTCTGGAAGTGGAAGACCCTAGAAACTTGACTAGAAGATCTAGGTAAAATGTAAACCATAAGATGAGAAATCCAAACCGGATCAAAAATTATACAACTACAATTTTTGAACTACGAAATTTAAGATGCTGTCAAACACTTTTATTTAATTGAAAAGAAAACCCCCTACAACTTACTCATCATTTTATCTAAGACTTTACTTCTTGACTAGTATATTCATAAGCAGCATGAAGAAATGAGTCATTGAAGTGCAGGAAATGAAACTGAAGCTCCGCAGTCTCCCAACCCCCACAGCCCCGTGCAGGGTGGGGCTTGCTGGCCTCAGGCCAGGATGCAGGGAGAGCTGGGCTTCTGATGAAGGAAAACAAATTGAGACAACACTGCTTCTCACCCAATTCACCTGTTAGGAATGGGAAACCCGGCTGGTTATGAGGGCCTATTTTAATCAGTTTTCCTGATCAAAACCTCTTCCCTTTTATATACAGGGTGTAGCCTTTTCAATTTTTTTTTCTTTTTTATTGTACAAGTTTGCACAACATAGTGGTCATATTCATGGGGCAGAGTTGGTTCACACTCTTGACTCACTGCAATCCTTGTTACTTCCCCTTTGCCTCCTGCCCCTCCCCACTTCTTCCACTTCCTTCCAGGTAGCTTTTTGATGTTTACATTAATGTCTCTCATGGTTCAGGAAAAAAAAATGCAGCAGTTCCAGGTTTAAAGTTGAAGAGATGAGAAAAACCAAGGAATAATGACAAAAGCATTACTAAAATCTTTTTACCCGATTACAGTTACCTTGAATTAAATATAGCCTCAGCCAAATATGGAACATGAACTATGCATAATGCTGTTATAATTGACGGAGGGCAAAAGTTGTGAGCCGTGGATACAAAACATACAGTGCACAGGGGTCGTGGTGGCACATGCCTCTAATCTCGGCATTTGGCAGGCTGAGGCAGGAGGACCACCACGCGTTTCAGTCCTGCCTGGGCTACATAAGTTCAAGGCCAACCTACACTACATAGCAAGACCCTGTCTTAAAAAATAAATAAAAAACCTATATAGCTATGTATTTATATGTTCTAATCATTACTATTTATATCTTCCTGACTACTATTACAGGAGAGAGTGGCCAAGAAATTGTTTGATGTTAAGAAAGGATCTTAACTTCTGTTTGGTGGTTAGCGGATTTTTATTGGAAGGGAAAAAAAAAAAAAAAAAGCTCCTGAATTTCCAGGAGTCACACATAGGTGGATCCACCACCACCACCAGAACTGACTATAGGTAAACAGAGTCAAAATTACTTACTTGTTTAGTGACCACCGATCAGAGGTGACTCTGTAGATTTAAAATGACCAGCTGGAGCTCAGGCTCTTAACCCAGCTCTTCAACATGTAGGATTTAAAAGAAACTAAGATCTTCGGGGAAGAAAAGTGGTTAACGTGCATTTTAATTGTCTCCAAATGCAGGAGCTTAGTAGAGTGACTGCACCTCCTTCAGTAGGTACATTCCCTATTGTCTGAAGTTTAACCTTTGTCCAAAGTCTTAGTTCACACTCTATTCTTAATTTTTTATTAGTTAATGTATTTTATACAGGGTCTCAATATGCAGCTCAGACTTGGAGTGATCCTCCTGTGTCAGCCTCCCCAGAGCTGGGATTACAGGCGTGCACCACCACACCCAGTTTCAGGGCCGGCAAAGGGTGCCCGTTCTGGAGCTGGCATGGCATGTGGTACCAGGGATCAAACTCAAGTCCTTAGCAAGCACTTAGACCACCAAGCTTTCTTCTCAGCCCCATCATTCTTTATTTTTATCAGGATAAGCTGGCCACTCAGCCCTTCCACTAGGTACCTGCTTTATTCATCAGTGAACTAAATAAACTATTTTCTATATTTTGCCTTCTCTGAAGAAGTATCCTTATTTGTTGTATGTAATATTTTAGATGAAGGAAAAACTCTTAAGTTATTATACACAGAAAATAATAGGCATTGCATTTCTGAAAAAAAATTTTTTTTTTTGGGCTGAAGAAATAGCTCAGCAGCACAGTGCTTACTTGGCATATGCAAGGTCCTGAATTTGATTCCTGATAACAAAACAAAAAAACAAGCTTTTTTTTTTAATATTATCTTGGTTGTCTAACAACCTGCATGGAAACATGTCATAAACATTTAAGATATCTTTAGTCTTCTGAACTTTAGTCTACTGTTAAGCTATGTGAACAGTAAATAAATAGACGAGTGTCCATCCACCTATAAGACAACTTAAATAAAACTTTTGGAGGATTATTTCTGAAAAATAATACACAGAAACAGACATATTAACTTATATTGTATATAACCTTTATGCTATCTAAATTTTAGTCCTTTCAGCCTTGATATCTGACAATGTTTTGAGTCTGGCTATACTGAAAACTAGCAACTAGGTTTTCATAGAAAGTCCAAAGGATTAAAAGAAAAAAACTGTTGAGCTTGACAAATGCTTTTTTATTTTTTTTTAAATTTTATTTATTTATTTATTTATTTATGAGAGAGAGAGAGAGAGAAAGAGAGAGAGTGTGTGTGTGTGTGTGTGTGTGGCCAGCTCAGCCCACCAGGGGGCAGGGCTGGCTGGCATGTGGTGCTGGAGGATCGAACCGCGGTCCCTGATGCTTTGCTAAGCTTGTTCCAAGTAGGTGCTTTAGACCACTGAGCCATCTCTCCAGCCCGACAAATGCTTTTTTAAAAATTCAGCTGAAGATGTCTTAACCAGTTACTAACTCAGATTAAAAATACAGATGGACAAACACAAGACAATTAAATTTAAATGATATTATGCTTTTAGGTGCATTAACCACGTTGAACTACAGTAACTCTTTCATAGTTTCACATGTGTATGTAGAAATAAACTAGTCAGCACTTTATAGGTCCTCAATTAACAGACATTTTGTAATAAATTAGTGCCAACAATAATCTGAAAGACAAAAAAAATCCCAACTACTAGTATCTCCCCCAGGGGGTGGCCACTGGATGTTAAGGAGAACTGACTGTGGCAACTGTCACCCCACTCATGGCCAGGATTGATTTAGCTGATTTGGCTGGTGTGGCTGGTGTCCCCATCCTCCCCCACTGCTCCATGTGTGTCCCTCCCAGACCTGTCCCCTCAGTGGAGGACAGGACTCCTGATAGAAGATAACCGTTGTGTCAGTCAGGGGTGTACAAGTGCTGCACTTCCTGCCTTGACCTCCAAACAAGCTTTCCAGGGTTTTTCATTTTTTAAGAGATTTCTCAATCTTTTTCCAATGGTACTGTGAACTCATGGAGTTCTAAAATCACAATACATTTGTTTTACTACTCAGAAAAATATTTTCTTCATTCAACAAATATTCATTGCATACTAATTTTGTATCAGGCCCTATTTGCTTGCTAATGAGTGAAAATGTCTATTCTGATTTAGGTTATATTACAGTGTCTGATAGAATAAAGAAGATTATACAAAAAAAATAGATAAATCCTAACAGAAAAACTAGAATACAAGAAAAAATGATAAAAATTGCTGGAATTGATATTGCCTTGTTTATCATGAAAGTTACCTAACTTTCATGATAAAAATTATCTAAAAGCATTATTATTTCAGTACATGGCTGAAAGAAATGAGGGTGTTAATTGTTTATTTATCCAGAGAAAGGGCATTCCAAAGAGAGATAACCACTAAAATGAAGACTACATTTAAATACAAGATCAATACAGTAAGACACAAGCATCCCAAGTTTGAGCTCAACCTGGGCAACTCAGCAACTAAGTGAAACCCTATCCCAAAATGAAAATTAAAAATGCGGGGGACATAACTCAGTTCAAAGACCCTGAGTTTAACCTTCAGTACCACAGAGAAAAAAGAATGATGAGTCACAGGGTAAACTCAAGTAAGAAAAGTTGTACACATGTCGTACTCACATTTATAAATGGAGAATTAAGGGTCAATTAGCAAAGAAAGCTGAAAAGGACTAGTCAGAAAGAAAAGAACAAAATATAGACAGCACATGCCCCAAAAGCCAGGGAGGACAGCATCCTGGAAGGAGAGCCATGACTTGTTCTAAATGCTGCTACTATGTTAATCACTGATTTTAGAAGTGCCAGGGGCAATTTCAGTGGAGTATTGAGACAAACCATGACCAGAGTGAGTTCTAAAGGGGATGGAAGAGCAGAAACAGAAAACAGAAAGTACAGACATGGTGCTGTTGTCATAGAATGGGTCAATAGTAGTCCAGGCTCTTGTGTACAATGAAGAAAATATTACTAAATGTGCACCTAGTACTATCTGGTAAGCAGCTACATTTAAGGTAAATCATGGGATCTGGAATGCTCAAGGCAACTTCAGGCCAGCAAAACATAAGACACCAACTGAAAAAGGTGCAAAGGTGACAGAAAAACACTGTCCAAAGGTCAAAGCATACAAATGTAGCAACAGCAAAAGAGTGTGGCTAAATCAGGCTTTTGGAACTAGGTTAGGCCTGTCATTTAGGTGCCTCCCCTGACTCTCTAGGTGTGATTGACAAGAATGATTGACAGGGAGCTGGTGAGATGGCTCAGTGGTCTAAAGCACCTACTTAGAACAAGCTAAGCTAAGCAAAGCACAGGGACCACAGTTCAATCCCCCAGCACCACATGACAGCCAGCCCCACCCCCTGGTGGGCTGAGCTGGCCATACACACACAAAATAAATAAATAA